CACACGGCTGTGATATGAAGGTGCAGACCCCTCCCAGCTCCTACACGCTGGCAGCCAGGCCCTGCCTGCCTGAGACTGAAGGGGCAAACTGCCCTGCCCACCTGCCACGGGCCACAGCACCAGGTCTGGATGGGCCCAGGGTTGATCCCAACAATGCAGACATTTTTTGCCACTTCCGCCCTGGAACTCAGCTGGGGCTTTACCTTTCTACAATACTGCTTTTCCAAACAGTCATCTCTATTCTGGTGCTCAAGAGAAGGGGGGCCCTGAAGGGTGACAGGCTCATGGAACCCTTGGTCGTGCCTTTTCCCTTGCCGGTGGAGGTGTCACCTGCTCACCTGTTAATGAGCAGAGGCAGGAGGAAGTTCATGGAAGCAGGGCCCCTGCTCTGCCAGGCTGTGCACTGGCTGGCCTGTTTCCAGTAGGTCCTCCTCTCCCAGCTGCTCTCCTCCCTCTCTCCCTGTCCCAGAAGTGCTCTGTTTGGCACTGCCCCCCATGAATCGGCCCTCTAGCCCTGTCATCCAGGGGAAGTGATTGCCAGGTGCAGACGGAGAGGCTGTTGTCTGTCCTGGGTCCCAGCCTTCACCAGCCGGCTGAAAAGAGGACTGCCCGCCCCATGGGACAGGGCCCCGGGAGGGGGTCTAAAGAGCAGCCTGATGGCAGAGCAGGTGGGCGTGTTCCAGGCCAGATGGCTGGATGAGGGCCAGCCAGACTAAGGGGGGACATTTATCCTGTAGGGCTCCTAGAGTTGTACTCTGCCCCCCACGCTGTCATTACCCTCCCCAGATGTGAGGGAGGAATGCAGGTCCTTCCCTAGGAAGGCAGGGCTCACTTCTGCCTTTTATTCAGTGGGGAATGTCACAGCTGCAGCTGGTGCCCCAAGCCCACCACGCCTGGGCACTCGGGCAGTGTCCAGCCTGCTGCCAGGGCTCCTGGTATCTGGCCTGATGGTAGCTCCTCTCTTTTGGACCCTGGCTGCCAGGCTCTGGTGCCACTTCTCAAAGGCCTGGAATTGGGGAGGGCGAGGAAAGGCTGTTGGTCTCGGGCTCCCTCCAGGGTCTGTGCTGTCCTGCCAGAGTAACAGCTGTGCCTAGTTTCTCTGTCTCTGGGGTGGGGTGGGGGTCAGAGTACACGGCCAGCCAGCCTGTCCTCAGGCCAGATGCTTAGGCTCAGAATAGATGTGGCTTGTGATGTGAGACACTGTGCTGAATAGAGCTAAATGGACAGGGATCCAGACCCCACGTGGGCTGGTGTGAGCCACGGCTTTTCCACAGGCCAAGAAAGCCTTGTCCTTCCCAATGGCCTGGGCGGAGCTCAGGGCCACCGTCAAATCAAGGGCCCCCCCATCATTACCCCCCGAAAATGAAGGGGCCCCTTGGGGGTGGTGAGCAGGGAGGTCCTCCAGCTCAGCAGTGACCAGATGTGGCACTGGTTTGGGACAAGCTGGCTGGGTAGAGTACAGGGGTCTACCCTGCCAGTACCTGGTAAAGGGCCCAGCTGTCTTCACGCTGCTGTAACCGCTGAGCCACCTGCAGTCGCAGGACCGGCCGTCGCCA